CATGCTGAAAAAGATTCAATATAATGTAAGGTTGTTTCTTTTTCCTTTTTCTTTTTGCTTAATGAATCCAAGCATCAAATATTTATACTTTGAAAAATATTCATGGGTACTTAAAAAACCCTTTAAGGGTGTATCATTATTTCCACTGCTACTTCAGATCAAGTTACACTTGTGCATGATATGACCTCTCAATTGTTATGGACTTCTTTAACTTTTCTTTAGTCAACATGTTTGTTGGGAGTGGGGTAGACATAAAGAAACAAACTCTGTCTATAGAACACATTTTATTCTATAACATATGAAAACTCTTTCAAATTGTGTCCAAAAACTCATTGACGATCGGTTTGCTAAATTAAAGATGGGAAGTGTTTCTAGAAGAAGTAATTCAGCAATTCTGAAAGATTTCCAGGATCAGAATCTATAAACAAGCAGAAAGACTCACTTTATGAATAAGTATCATTATAATAAATTATTGGTGAGGACCCATTATATTCAGAAACATTTATTTTTTTATTTTATTTAAGCCCCAAATCATCCCATGAGATATTTTAACTTCATGAGGTGTCCTGTTCCAATATATAATTGGCCTCCTTGGTCACATGATCAGGGGTGCCAAACATGGTACCCAAACCATGGCTTTACCAATAAGATCCCATGCTTCTTATCTATGTTTTTTTAAAAAGAAAAAAATTAAAAACCCTTAAACCAACCACTTCTTTGCTAGGTGCTTCATCAAGGTGCTTCCACTGACCCCATTCACCTTTACTTCCAAAATATTGAATAGTGCCACGGAATAAATTGTGTGCAAAGGTGTTTGTCCAAAGATATTGGATAGCTTCTTTTGTAATTTGTAATTTTTAATCAAAATTTCGTTATTACATAAGTAGCTGAGAGTTTGGAGAAAGTAAATTCTACTCCTAAAGTATATTCGAAATCTAAAAATCTCACTGTGATCCAGAGCCAGATTTTGAAATTTGCAAATAGATTTGGTTTGAGTTCCACCTTTGCGTTGCTTACCTGTGTGGCCCTGGATAAAATAGCGAGGAGATCAATTGCTTTTAACTTTAATCTGAATCTTCAAACCAAAATGCATTTTTCATATTTTGCTTTATGCCTTGAGTTTTATTATACGGCAGGGGACATTATCATTAGTTAGAGTATTTCTGGAATTTGTAGCAGGTCGGTCATCCCTGTAAATGTCATGAAGACAGGGCTGTAAGTGCCACTAAGTTTCTTTCCCTCCTCTTTCTTAAAGCTTTGTCATTCACCATTGCCTACTGTCTTCATGCCATATTCAATATTTATTATGCATCATAAATTGTTGAAAGATAGACAAGATTCTGGATATTTCAAAATTATTAATTCTTCTTTAACGGAGACAGTTTGAGAGTCTGTTTTCCACACCAAAGATAAAGATTTTGACTGAGCATGCTGCTCAAATTTTAGCAAAAACTAGACATCATTCATCATAATGTTATATGTGAATTGCTATGGACTGAATAATTTTGTGCTTAAAGCTTTACTTATAAGCAGTGTTTCTACATCTATATCTATAAATATTCATGTGACATATGAATCTGCAATGTGAAACCCACAGATACCAATGGTCTACTGTAATTCCATTTATGTTATTTGACATTTGACTTTTCAGTATCAATATATTCCACACTCTGGAATTTTTCTAGTGTAGAGAAAAAGGCAATCATAAACTTGGGAAAATCTCTTTTATACACCTGTGGAAAAAATATTTTCTTAGTTTTCAACTTGCTTTCAAAAATAATTGTTTTAATATCATAATTCATTATCCAGTATTCAATGATTATTCACTAAAAGAAAAATGGATCAAGATGGTGGTTACAAAGATGCAAGGTCTTCTTTTTTTCTGTCAGGATTAATATATGCACAACATCAAGCATGTAAGTAGAAAAATGACTGCAAGGATCAATAGGTGCAAAGAGATTAGCATTTTCAAATGGCCGTTCTTGACTTTGTAAAGGAGTCATTGCCTATTTGGATTCTTTACCTGACTCCAGGAAAAGCTGCTTCAGTTCAGTGTGTCAGTGGAAATATAGAGGAATGGTCACACATGTTTGCTAATAAGTACTAGGCACTGGTATCATCTCACATAAGAAGATAAATGTGCATGGCAAGGAAAAAATCCTACAGACTATTCCAACTTTAACTGACTTGTTGGAGAATTACAAGTCACACCCCTTCTGTCATTATATCTAGTCTTGACCTAAGTTATAGTTTACTTACAATTAATATTGCATTGTTCCTCTCAGTTCTTGGCACTGTCTTTTGGATGTCCTACCTCTTGTATAAAGTAGTGATTTTTGTTATTCATCTTTTGGCTGCCATTCTCCCCAAACTAAAGCTAAGTGGAACCTTCCAGTCCTCTTCTACTGGAAAAGAACTTGAAACAGTTGCAAAAGATATTAGGGGAAAGCAAAACCCTACTGTTAAGGAATATTGTTTTGCCCAGTGTCTTGTGGGTGGAACTTGTATTTTTGTCGATGGGTCATTTTTCTGAAAAGAAAAGAAAAAAAGATAGAAATGCCTCTGGCATGAACAGAAGCATAAGGGGCATTGAGAAATAAACTTCGGAGTTTTGCACAGCAGAGGTAGGTGAAGGTCATAACAAGCTTTTCCTGGGCCATATAACTCAAAGTCCTGAAGATGCCAGTTGAATAAGAGCTCACCAATTAAGTTCTTCCTCAGAAGACATCAGCCACCCCCTCACCCTCTATCATTGCCCCCCCCCCCCTTACTTTCCTCATTCCCTAGCTCCACTAAATCTACATTCCACCACCAGGTAGGCATTTAAAAATGCTCATTCCTATAAGTGTTTAAAATTTGCAACAATTCAAAGCCCATCCCCAGCCACTTCCCACCCACATGTCCCTAGAAATAGCACATTTCTGTAAATCAAAACTACTGTCTCTCTACATGTGTGTGTACATATGAATGTGTCTGCACACGTGAATGTGTTTGCATTTGTATGAAAAAGACAATTTTTCAAAAAGGAAAAAAAAGAGAATTTTGTATTTCAGTGGTGTTTTTGTTTTGCGTTTTGTATTTGCACAGACCATTTTAGGATTTGCAGTCTCAACAAAACACTATTAAAACAAAGAATCTAGTAAAATATTTGTGCATGTTCTGCTAAACAATTCTAGCAATTTTATTAAGCAATACCTTTATTATTTTTGAATATTCTTAACAGACTGGAACAAAACATTTTTTTTATTCAAAACAAAATATGCATACTATACGCATGTCGCAGGGTTAAGTATGATGCAGAGATTAAAGTTTGTTTGAACAAAAACAAATGCCTGGGGAGATTTCATAGCTATAAAGTCAGTAACTAAATTTTGTTCGCTAAGAGGACCTTTTCAATGGTTTTCCTTCATCTCTCAGCTACACAGCAAACATATCTGAAGTGCACTTCCCAAGTGTAGTTAGAGAATAGGAAGGAATGTAAAGTATTTTTTTAAATTATTTGTTTTGTTTGTTTGGTTTTTTAAAAACAGCCCTTATTAACTCTTCCTTCCACTGATTCTACTGTAAACTCATAAAAGCCTTTTTTTATATATATATATATATATAAAGCAAGTTCATAGACACTCAGCGGGTGAAATGTTCCCACAAAAAGAAAAAAGTACAAACAGAGCGATCAGATTTCTCCTCTTTTCTTCAACTATCTAGAGCATGTTAGAGTGATACAGTTTTTGCACTTGAATGAAAATGGCTAACCTATTTTTTTTTTAAGAAAAAGTTCTTTTTTTTGTGATAATGCAGAATTGCATACACTTTATACCTGGAATAATTTAAAACCATATGTTGGGGAAATCCTGGAGTAAAACCGTGTATATTCTGTATACTGCAGGTGTTTGAGAGTCTCTACTATCTCCTTTGCCAACGATAAAGGAGGAAGAAGAAATCCAGATTGGTGTTCTTGGCCTCTTTGTCCCCTTACCAGGGCCAAAATGGGGTCCCAGGTCACTGCAACAGAACTGGCGTCACAATGAAAGTCCACCTTTGTCTCTTCTCACCCGATGTCAGGTGGCCACTCGGAGCCACCGGACCGGTGAGAAAGGGCTGGGGGCCTTGGGCAATGGGGGTGGGAGCAAAACAGTTCATGATAATTTTCTTTGCTTTTATTTTGTTTTCAACATAAAAATGTGTTCAACTGTCTGATTCCACCTATCATGGGGAACACTTGTTTGTTCAGCTAACCCCCTTGTCTGCTCCATTGCGGGTTTGTGCAACAGTGGCTCAGAGGCCTACCAGAGCGTGCACGTCCGTTCACTGTGGCCACACAGACAGAAGCAAGCAGATGTTGTATGCTGAGGGGAGAGAGGAGGGCCAGAGGAGGAAAGGCTGGGGAAGGTGCGGGTTCCCAAGGCAGGAGGGAAAGTTAGGAAATTCTTTTTAATTTTTTTCCTCTTTTTTTTTTTTCTTTTTTATGATTTTTTTTTTGTTTTGTTTATTTTTTTGCTATACCACAAAGTCATAGCAATCATTCCTCTAATAGAAACTGACAGGACATAGAGACAGAACTATCTGATGAACATACACAATGACTAGAAATATATATATATAGAGAGAGAGATAGAGAGAGAGACAGTGAAAAGACTTAGTTTACCTCTGAGAAAGCATCCCCCGAAATAAATCCTGTATTAACAAGTGCAAAAAACAAACAAACGAAACCAACCCAAACCAAAAACCAAAGCAAATTAAACGCCCAAACATTAAAACACAGTGTATAAAATGGTGTGAGAAATAGAAGTCCCTTGGCAGCCTTTCAGTCAATAAAAAGCTGTGCGTGTGTCCTTGTTTGGATTCAGGCCCATCTTTTTCCATGTTACCCTACAGGCCCCGCAAGAAGTGATTGGAGGGTAAAAGCACCCAGTCTCTGTGACATCTGACCAGTTGCGTTTTCATGGCGGGGCCAGGGCTGCTCTGGTGACCCTTGGTGGTGACACTCTGTCCTTCCCCTGCTACTCCTCGTTGGCCGAGCTTTCCTCCAGCGTGTTGATGCCTCCAAAGCTCAGCGCCGTGGTGTTCTGTGCAGCTGAGGCTGTGAGCACTGTATGTAAGAGAATCAGTACCAGGACACACAGTTTGAGTCTGCTGTTGCACAATCTTGTAGCTGAGGAAACTGGGAGCGACGTCCTGTGACGGGAGCCACTGTTCTCCACCTCTCCTTTGGATGGGTTGCTTTTTGGCTCCTGTCTCCTGACGTCACAGCATTCTGGTTCATCATTGGTGAGAAAGGTCTCGTAGAGCCCTGCAGGATGAAGACAGTGGACGGTTAACAGGGAAGGAAGACCTGGGAAGGAGCTCATAGTAGAGAGAAGCTGTTACTTCAGCGTTCTGACCAACAACAACAACAAAAAAAAAATCATACAAGCAATGCAGCATTTTGTAAAGGGAAGGAAAGTCAAGACAGTCTGGATAAACAGTCAACCGTTCTCTCAAACCAGTCCTTTTAAGTTCCTCACTGTGTTCTTTTTATATTCCTGGTGGTCATTCCATGAAAGCTCTGGGTTGTGACGAATATAGAATGGAAGATGTTATTAGATCCAAATCAGAGCCTGAGGTTCTGAATCAACTTGGTGACCAAGGACATGCAACCATCCTTTTTCTTTAACAGGAACCTGACTAATTAATGCAATTCCTAAAGTAACATTAACTAGTTGTGCTAAGTGAAATAACTAACCAATCAAAATATCATAGCTATAGGAACCAACTTCTCTCATGCACCTCACCATTTCCTCTATCCCCCTGTGTTGGAGGGCAGGTATAGAATGGGCATAACTATCTACACATCCAATAGGTGACCATTTCCTTTTAATTTATTTCCTAAATATTTCTTTTATTCTTCCATATGCTATTCTATCAATGACTGCCTAATGGGACCATTTGAGGCTTAAATGAAATAAATAATGTAAGCATATCTTTCACCTGTTTCACTACTGGAGGAGCCACTCTCTGCTCTTGGTTTTCTCTACTTCCAAAAACTATCCTCCCTCAGCACTGTCTTTCAGTGAATACCTGTCCATATCACACCCTCACTCTCACACTCTTTCTTTTTTATTCCTTCCTGGAGAGCTTCTCCTCTTGCTCCCTTCACTTTTCCTTCTTCTTTTAAAACTACATATTGTTCTTATATTACAATTGATAGATGGGTAGTTCTGAAACTTTCAAAGTGGTGAAAAGAATAAAACCACTGGTGCCCTAGCATCATTCCATACACTAGAAAATGGTTATGTGTTTGACTCCCGGTCAGGGTACGGCTAGGATGTGGGTTCCATCTCAAGGTGGGATGCCTATGGAAGGCAACTGATCAATGTTTCTCTCACATCAATGTTTCTTTCTCTCTTCCTCTTTAAAATCAATAAAACGTAATCTCAGGTGGGGTAAAAAAAAGAAAGAATAAAATAACTGGCTACTCACTATCTTTCAACATTGTTTCTTGCTATATTATACATATGTCATGTTTTTTGTAGTTGTATAAACCATTTTGCACTGGACTGAAACATTGTCTCAAACTGATAGAATGAAGTTTCTACACAAATTTTATTATATTACACCCAAGCTTGAAAAACTAAAAAATAAGAATGGAGCAATTGGAATGATTAAATTAGAGTTTGTATGTAAAGTGCTTGGCTCAGTGCCTATCACATAAATATGCTTTAAAAATTGGCTACCATTAATAATAATAGCAATTAATAGTGAGTCATGACTCCACATAAATAATGCAATCTGAAATATCCTTTCTTCTCTCTCCAGACTCATCGCTACATTTCCAGCTATCCTGAACTCCTTCCTGCTCTTCTCAGAACACGTGGTACTTTCTCCCAAGTCTGTATCATTGTCCAGGCTTCTTTCCTTCCTGGTATCTTCTCCATCTACTCATACAACACCTATTCTCATTTTGTTCTTCAACTTCAGCTCACAGGAAATCCCTTGTGTGAAGCCTGCACACACATGCCTGGGCTGTGAGTGCATCTTGTATAACTTCAAGAGAGCAATTATTATTAGTTCTTTTACTCTCAATTGCTCATTTTCATGTCAATTTCCTTACTCATCTGTCAACTTAAAAGCAAGAACTATGTATTTTCAGCTTTGCATTCCCAATGGGTTGCAGAAGTCCTAAGCAAAACAGATACTTGATGAGCATTTATTACATAAATAAACTCAATGTATATTTATTTAATAAAATAATCTATTAAATGATATATTATACTGCAATCTTCAGTTTCCTTGAAAGAAATGACCAATATATCCTTATAATGATGCTTACAATATTCATTTCTTCTTAGGCATTCAAAGGTAAACTTCACCTTCGCCTAGATAGAATATGGAAAAAAAACTGAATTAATGAGGTCTGCAGCTGCGACATTTTTATTGTATGATATTTTCTTATATCATATATGATAACTACTGGTAAAACTAATCATTTATTGAAGCATAAGTTTTCCAAAATTATACTCTATACGGAAGAGAGTTTACAGTTAAGATAAAAATAGAAATCTAAAGGTCATTTAGATCAACGTTTTAGAATGTTCATAGTCAGAAAATGTTTAATAATGTCACTCCAATAAAAAGGTCTTCCAAAAAAACAGACCCATAAACAGGGAAGCATTGATCAGACTGTCAAACCTCTCAGAGGGAAAGTAGAGGAGGGTGGGAGAAAGGGGGATAGTTCAACCAAAGGACTTGTATGCATGCATATAAGCCTAACCAGTGGTCATGGACAACAGCGGGTGGGCATATATGGAGAGGGGTTTGGGATGGGAATGGGGGGATGAAAAACAATTATGTGATACCATAATCAATAAAGAAATTAAAAAAGATTTTCCAAGTTAGCTCAATAGCTAGATTGCTGATTTATAATTATCAGTAAAGTTAGCTCAATAGCTAGATTGCTGATTTATAATTACCAGTTAAGTCATTTCAGAAAAGTAACGATGTTCAATCAAATACATGTATTCTTCTTTTTGACTGACAAAATGAATACTCTATATCCCCTGTGATCTTGTAATTTGAGTTTTTATTCAGTCATACATGCATGTATTTTAACAACCACATAAAACTTCTTACAAAATAATTTTAAAAAATGTCCCTCCCCCCATCCTGAATTCTTTCTTCTTAGAGGCAATTGTATCGATAACTCTTTTAGTGTCTCTGTACTTAGCGCTATATTGTAAATAGCTTGCTTTGTGCTTTTCTTGAGTTTTCATTTTTAATGTGAGGATAAAACATTCCTTCTCCTGCTTCCTCCAGCTTATATGATCCCCACCATACCACCACCATCCCCATTCTGCCCTGGTAGTGAGTTTGCTGTTTATTCTTTGCTTTATTAGGATGTTGTAAAAACAATGCTAATTCAGACAAGTAGTAAACTTTAGTTTACCATTATTAAACCACTTTTTTTTTTCCTAGAGTTGATATCTTACAGTTTTCTATGTACTTATAAATTCAATCCCTAATATTTTACCAATTATTTCAATTGAGTCAGATGTTCTATCAAATTGATCTTCCTGAAGAAATATCTCCTGGAGCCTACCATCTGGACTGGTTATTTTTTATGCCTGGTATATAACTACCAGCCTGAAAACCCTAATAAAGTATCCTCTTGGGATGCTTGCTGCCTCTCTCCTTTGGACTCCCTATTTCTTATATCCTCTGCCTCCTTTTTCAATTTGGTGGACCATGTCATCTAGTATAGGAATAGCTCATGGGAGTAAATGTCTAAAAATGTGTTTATTTTACTGCATATTTAATTGATTGTTTGACTGAGTATGAGATTCTGGGTTAGAAAATCATATCCTTCAAACGTACTCGAGCATCATTCCCACATTAAATTGTTGGACCTTTGGGATGTGTCCTTGAATTTTCTTATCTCATCTCTCCTATTTGATATCACTTCATCCCTTGCTCTGTTTTTTTGAGGATTTGGTGAACTTTATCCTGTAATAATTTTATTGAGTTTTTCTCTCTTTTTTCCCTACCGCATTTTAATTTCCATGAGCACTTTTATGTACTCTCACTGTTATTTTTTAAGTGTTCTCATTTTATAGTTGCAATGTATTCTTTTATTGCTCTCAGATATTTGCAGCTATTTTATTTCTCATGTTTTATTTCCTCTCTGCATAGGCTCTGTTTTCTCTAAATCACTTTGTTGGTTTTTTTTGTTTGTTTGTCTATTATTATTATTATTATTTTCATGGAAAGCCTGCACATTCTAGATTGTCTGCCGCTATGAAAAAGTATTGGGATCTCGGCACCTAAAAAAGATTGTGAGCTGTGAGCTACACTGTAGAAGGACCTGCCTCAACTGTTCTGATGGAGACATTTTTTAAATGTCTTCCTCAGGTTGTTTGGGTTACCCAAAAAATGTCCAATATCTGTTTAGCAGTGTGAAAGCTGGGCAGACAGTTTCCTGAGAGCTGATGGGAGAAGGCAGTTTGATGGGGTAAGGGCTGGTGGAGAATCTCAATCTTCAGTGTGTATGCGGCACTCACTTAATCCCCGTTTTGGACCCCTACCTGAACTCCGCCTGGTGTCACCAGGACAATAATGCTCTGGAGTCATCTCTGAAAATATAGTTCCCCTCCTCCACACACATATTCCAAATCTTTTCTCTAAGGTGAGGAAGGGGAAATTGCGAGGCTGGAGAGGTGGGCATGGGCTATAGAGATCTATCAGCTTCTTAAACATATTTTGTTGCTTCCTCCAAACGTCTTCCACTGTCAACTCTTGTGCCTGGAGGGAGCCTGGGAATTACAGATGTGCAATCTATAAATCTGCTTGACGCTTGGTTTCCTCTCTGCTGCTTCTAGCCCTCAACAAAGCCTTGAGCAAGCATCAATGTTCTTTGTTGTTTCTAAGAGGTTTGTGGTTACTGTCTCCTTATCTATTCTTCTATTCTTTTGGATGTATGCCTCAAAACAATTTATTTTCTTTTGGGTTTGCCTAGAAAATGGTACTGCTTTTTTCTCTATATCATTGCGCCCTGTCTTGAACTCTGACAGATGTCTGTTTCTCTGTTAGATACATTTATGAATAAACAGGACCTACAGCCTGCTAAGTGTTTCTTGGTTTATGTGGTGGACGGTGGGGTGCATCACCTAGAGGTCCCCCAGGACATGGACACTTGCCCTTCCATCTGGGAATGCTGTAGGCAACTAGATCCCGCCTCAGTGTCTCCCCAGAAACCACCCATGGATGAGCCTTACCTAAAATTTCTGGGACCCTGGGCAGCTGCCTTCAAGAATCAGG